TCATTAATTTTATCCTATTCTTGACTAAGTTTTGGTGATTTGTCTTTTTCTAAAAAATTGCCCTTTTGAAAAGGTTTTCAAATTGAGAATTTTTCCTGAAGGTCACATAGTAGGAGGCTTTCAAGGTTCATTTTGAAAAAAAATTATTTTATAAAATCATTTGCTTTTCTTCAAACAGGTAATCTGTGTTCATGATGTCTCAACTATCTACCGAGTCCCCTTGATGTTAGAAGAGCAAGGAGTTGTAGATTATTTTCTTCGAAGACTTGACCTTCCTGTTGAGAGGCAGCCACGAAAAATGCTGATGAAGTGGAAAGAGATGGCAGACAGGTTTGCTTCCTTGGGGAGCTGGGAGTGCCAGCCTTCTTTCTTTCTTCTTTTATATTTTTTTGAGACAAAGTCTTGCAATATAGTTCAAGCTATCCATAAACTACCATGTAGCCCAGGCTGGACACAAAAGCACAGCAATCCTTTTGTCTCAGCCTCCCGAGTCCTGGGATTACAGGTATGCACCACCACGTCCACCTCTAAAAAGCACATATTACAAAACATACAGCTGAACATCCTGTCTGTGAAAGGCTGATTCCAGGATCCCCCTCAGATACCAAAATCCTCAGGTGGTGCAGTATTTCCATATGACCTACAGCTTCAAGATTGCTGTAGATTTCTTGTCATACCTATGAATAACATTTACTTATAATACCTATTTACACAAGCAGTGATGCCCTATATTAAGAAGTATTGACAAGAAAAAATGTACATGTTTAGTACAGACACAATATTTTTAAAAATTTTTTTTATCTGTGGTTGTTTGAACCCATGAATGCAAAGCCCGTGGATACCGAGAGCTGACTTTGAGCTCATAGATGAGAGAAAAATGAGTGAGTAGCGCCCGTAGGGCTGTGTGGATAAATCACATGAGGATGCTGGGCTCTTTGGGGGCCTGTCTGGATCATGGCCACCCTCCTGAGAAGGCCCTCTTCCCCAGGTGAGCTAGGTGACCTACCGTTTGTAGCCGTAGCTCCCTGTGCCATAGCTGATCAAACCAAGGTGGATGCTAGGCCCAAGCTGGGCCAGCTTCCTCTTCCCGGGAGATTGGAATTAGGACTGAGAGTCAGCAGCCAGAGCGAATGAGGCGGACAGTCACACACAGGGCTGGGAGCTCGAGAGGGCAGCCACTGCTACAGCTAAGTGGAAGAAGCTTCTCTGCAGAGGCGAGAGAACAAGTAAGCAAGTGGAAAAGGGCATGAGAGGAGGGGCAGAGGGAAGTCTCGTCTGGATTCCTGGTGGTTTTCTAGGGGAAATCCCCATCCTGATGTGGATCTGCGGCCCGGGGACTGGGCTGGCCTGGTCTCCTGCCGATGTAGTCGTGGTGTGCTTTAGTCGGTGTGAGCAGCACAGGAAGTGGTGGCCGGGAAGAGCCGTATTCCTATTGTACAGGTGATGAGAAGGCTGCTCGGGAAGAGCAGATCAGCACTTTATGGCAACAGCCAGAAGCTGGTGCAGTTGGAATCGCGGAGGGAGCAGCTCATTCTGAGATCAGGGTCCTTCACTGCCCCTGCCTCCTTCGTCTCAGGCCAGCCCACTAGGAACAGGCCCAGGAATTCCCAAGCTAGTTCAGGTTCTCCCTGCCCCTGCCTCCTTCGTCTCAGGCCGGCCCACTAGGAACAGGCCTCTGGGCAAGTGGGCGGTGCGTTTCTGAGCACCCTAGCCTTGGGGCCCAGGAATTCCCAAGCTTCTTTGGAAGACTGCAGAGGTGTCACCTCCTGTGGGAAGCTGCTCCTCCTAACCTGGCATCCACAGACGTCCTGTGAGCAGATGCCTGTGACTCTCCAGCTGTAGTGGCCTGGACCTCTGATCCCTGTGTAGCTGGGACTCGGGGACCTTGCACAACTGTGGGAGAAG